ATAGCTCATTGGGATGTAATATACAGCATAGGGAATATAGTCAATAATACTGTAATAATTTGTATGGTGACAGGTGGTTACTGGCCTTGTCATGGTGATCATTTTGTAATGTATTTGATTGTCAGATCACTATGTAGTATACCTGAAACTAACATAATATTATGTCAACTATACTTCAATTAAAAAATTTTAAAATGTATTAGATTATCCTTTGAAAAAAGTTTCAAAGACACACAACACACACCCCACATATATATATAAGAAAAATACTGAAAATTAAACCAAGAAAAGCAAATCTTACCTATAATCCTCAGCTTTAAAAAATTATATAAAGTGTGTAGAAGTCCAGTCCCCCTACCGTCCCCTTTCCAATTCCCAAGAGTAAGCACTACTAGCAATTTTTCCTATACTTATACTGATATATCATTTACCTTCATTTTAAAAAACAAAAAATGAGATTATATTATACAAATTTCTTACAGCTTGTTTTTTTGCACTCAACAACAATAAAGGACATCTTTTTAGGGCAGTACATACAGATGCATTTAATTCTGTTTAATGCCTGTATAGTATTCTGCTGTATGGATGTATCATTCGATTAATTAGTCACCTATTGATGGATATTAGGTTGTTTCCAGATTTATGTAGTCACAGTACTGCAGTAAGCATTCTTAAACTTCATGTATTTCTCCTATTTTTTTTTCCCTTGGTAGGATAGAATCCTAAAAGTGCTGTTGCTGGGCCATAGTAGATACATGCTTTAAATATTATTAGATGCTTTCAAAGTAACTTCCAATAAGTGTATGTCAGTTTACACTTCCACCGGTAGTATATAAGAGTGTCCACATGATTGGCATTATTAATCATTTTAGTGTTTTAAAAAAATATATATATATATATATTTATTTGGTTGCACCGGGTCTTAGTTGTGGCACACGGGATCTTTAGTTGCGGCATGTGGGCTCTTAGTTGCGGCATGTGGGATCTAGTTCCCTGACCAGGGATCGAACCCAGGCCGCCTGCACTGGGAGTGCGAAGTCTCAACCACTGGACGACCAGGGAAGTCCCCATTTTACTGTGTTTTTGAATCAATATTCTTAAGCCTATCAAACTAAATGTGGCAGAAATTATGGATTGATTTATTCAACATCCCATGCAGCTGCCTTCTGGTATGTCTTCCTGTACTGGAGGCTGGAAAACCAAATCACATTTCCTAGACTTGTTTCCAACTAGGATTCACAAATAAGATGTATCCTAGCAACTTGAGTTTGGAACTGAGTTAAGTGGGGAGAGAGGCAGGACACAAGGTAACCATTTGTGCTGGTATGAACTGCAGGAGATGGCATGGTTCTGGAGCCAGCAGCCTTAAGAGAGGCTTCTGTGGGAGGGCAACAGCTCCGTTGGTGGCTCCCACCAGTAGGACTTGGGAGTCACTCCTGAAAGCTCAGCCTGGAGTCTTTATCTTTAGCATTCCCAATGATTCTTCAAATGATTTCATACCCTGAAATAAATATTTTATGCTGTATTTTTATCCATTTTCTACAGTAGATCCTATGGACTGTTTCCTATTATATTCAGTTGTGTGACACTGTCAAATTATTAACCTCTTTGGGGCCCAGCTTATTTATTAAAAAGAGATAATAATACCTATATATGGGGATGTTGTGAAGTTTAAATGGAATGATGAATTGAAAGTGACTGACTTACTCTGGGTTCAGCAAGGCTTATGGGTAGTGGGTCTTTTTTCTCTTCCTTCTTTTTAGACTCACTCATCCTATGAGACCCAGCTCAAAGGCCATCTCAGTACCCCTGGGGAGGCAGAATTATTGTTGTCTTCTCTGGGCTCTCACTACATTTAACTAATTCCTTTACAAGTCATAACATGTTGTACTATGACTTATTCATATATGTGTTTGTCTCCCCACTAGATTTTGTGCTCTTTGAGGGCAAGGGTATTCATAATCCATCTCTTTATTTCCAGGCCCCAACAAAGAGCAGGGGATGAGATGTGTTGGTTGAATGAATTAGCCCTAGCCCTGCCTCACTGAACTCCTCAGTTCCCCTCCCCTGCTTGTTGCAACCATCAATTTTAGTGGCCTCATTGGTATCTTAGATTGGGATCACTTGGCTACAGGGAACAGGAAGCCTTTTAAACTAGCTCAAGCAAAGATGGGTATATCAGTAAGCTTTAGATGCAGGAAACAAAAAGCGCCCAAGCTATTGTTAGTAGAAAACGGTTTAAAGAAAAATGAGGTACTTTTAAAGTTGTTGCAAATTTAGGAGGAGTAAGTTACAGGCTGGACCTTCAGGAATAACTCTCAGAACAACACTGCCAAACTGACTTGCCAGTGGAACTGCCACCTTTTGTACAATTAGGGAGCAAGGGGATCAGAAGCCCACCAATGGAACTACTGATTTTCAAGAATATACAACTGAGGGGTCAGGATGCTGCTGCTGCTGCGACAACAACTACCTCGAGATAAGCACAAAGTTAGTGAGTAGCCACTGAGATACTGTTACAGAAAAACCCAAAGTCTCCATAACTGTTCTTTCCAGCAGCAGTAGCCAAGGCAGCAAGAAGATGACCTCTGCCTCACTTCTGCCTTCCCAAACTTTCATGAGTGCCTTTAACTGGTGGAGCTTTCTTTCCTACCCCTCCTGTATTAATTTTCTATTGCTCAGTAAATTACCACAAACTTTGTGGCTTAAAACAACGCATATTTATCATCTTAGTTTCTGTGGGTCAGAAGTCTGTGGACGACTTAGGCAGGTCCTTTCCTCGGGGTCTCAGAAGGCTACAAACATGGTGTTGACAGTTTGCATTATCATCAGAGGCTTCCAAGCTCCCTCAAGTTGTTGGCAGAATTCATTTCCTTGTGGCTATAGAATTCCTGGTGCCATGCTTTTCAAAGGCCAGAAGGAGAGTGAGAGTGAGTCTGCTTGGAGTCTTATATATACCGAGAGCACCTGGGAACAGTGACTCTCCCCAGTAATGAACTCAGCTAGTGCATAGATCTTGGCTTGTAAATACTGTTCTTCAATGAAAGGAATAAGAACTCTTTGGAGACATGACTTATTTGAGGACTGGGTCAAAGAAAGTGCAAGAAGAGCCTGGAACGTCTTGGGCCAAAAAGCAAGGAAGTGCTCAAAGAAAGATGGGGACATGTGAAAAGGACACTGAGTGGTATAACTATTTTGGAAGACAATTTAGCAATTCTTATAGAGTTAAATATGCATTCATGCTACAACCCATTCATTTCATATCCAAAAGAAATGAAAATATATATCCACATAAAGACTTGTACATGAATGATCATAGTAGCTTTATTCATAATAGCCAAAAACTTGAAATGCCCATCAACAGTTAAATGGATAAACTAGTGGTAGTGTATCCATACAATGGAATACTACTCAGCAATAAAAAGGAAGTACCGACTGACACATGAACAACATGGATGATCTCAAAAACATTATGCTGAGTGAAAGAAACTAGACACAAAGAAGTACATACGGTTCCATTTTCATGAAATTCTAGAATAGGCAAAATTAAGTTACAGTGATAGCAGGTCATTGGTTGCCAGGGTGGGGCAGGGGTAGGGGACTGACAGTAAAGGGGCACAAGGGAACTTTCTGGGTCAGAATGGGTATGGTAGTGGTTACAAGGAATAAACATTTGTCATAAATCATCAAGCTAAACACTTAAAATAGGTGTATTTTTATCACATGTAATTTATACTCCAATAAAGTTGATACTAAAAACTTGAGCAAAAGATCTGAACAGACACTTCACAAAATAGGATATACAAATGACCAACAAACTTATGAACAGGTTTCAACCTGATTAGTAATCAGAGGAATGCAGATAAACATAATATGATATCACTACATACCCACCAAATGATTAAAATAATAAAGATTGATAATGCCAAGTACTGGTGAGCATGTGGAACAGCTGGAACTCTCATTGCTGGTGGAAGTGTAAATTGGTTCAATTATTTTGGAACATAGGTTTGGTGTTATCTACTAAAGCTGGTTTTATAATGTGAAACTATAAAAGAAACCCACTTAGTCTGTGGCAGATATCTCTGGTACTTGTCACATTCCTTTAACCCACATCTAATTTCAGCTGAAATTTTGGAAAACAGTTCCAACTCTCCTCATGGTGCTAGTGTGTCACCTCAAGTATACACTTTACATCTTTCCTTATTCTGCCTTAGGACCTTCTCTGATACCTGTAGCCCTGCAAGCAAAGTCACAAGGTCCTTGGGAGTCAACAGCCCTGGGGGCAATCATCATTCAAATAAGGATGGAAGCCTGTGGATAAAAGCTCTCATCTCTCAGATGGTTCTTTTTTTTTTTTTTTTTTTTTTTTTTCGGT